GTTTGGGTGCTGCCCCTCCCAGGTCAGACACAGCAGGAGCAGCACAGCAGAGCCCCAGAGGGGCTTGGAAACTCCCGGGCTTCTCTGAGGATTTCAATCTGGATTTTCCCCCAGGAACTCTCAGGATTTCAATCTGGATTTTTGCCCCGGGGTTCTCTGAGGATTTCAATCTGGATTTTCCCCCAGGAACTCTCAGGATTTCAATCTGGATTTTTGCCCCGGGGTTCTCTCAGGATTTCAATCTGGATTTTTGCCCCGGGGTCTCTCAGGATTTCAATCTGGACACTCCAGGGGCTCTCAGGATTTCAATCCAAGGCCCATTTCAGACAAACCCGCTGGCACCTTCAGCAGGAGCTCTGGGACACGGCCCCTTTCCCATTTTTCCCTGGTTTTGCCATTTCCTGAGAACAAAGGAGAGATTCCCCAGCAGGTCAGGCAGCGTCCAGAGCCACCCCACAAGGACAGAGGGATCAAAGCTGCCCAACCCCAGAGGGAAAAGCTGGATGCCAACAGGGATCAGGGATCAAGAGGCAGGAGGTGAGGAAATTAAATCCTCTTCCACTGCCCAGACCCTTCATCCTCAGCTTTGCAGGGCTCCAAAAACACCTCCTCCCTCTCTCTGTGTCAAGCTGTTACTTCCTGGTCGCTGGAATTCTTCAGCAGCACCATTCAGGACTCTGGCTTGATAATTTCTCTTTGCCACCAAATTCCTTTCCCAATAAAAGCCACATCAATATTCTGTGTCATTCAGGGACAGCTGTTGGGATGAACAGGCCAGGCATAATTTTGTTTCAAAACCTGACTGTAGCCTCAAAGTGGCAATTAGCATTAGTAAATTGATGGGAAAATGTGATTTGTTTACTAACAAGATGCAGCTGATGGGAGTGTGGGAGCCCACTCTCCAGGATTCTTTGCCACAGGAATTTGCTGTGAGGAAAATAAAGATACTTTGTTCCCCTCAAAGCTCTCCAATCAGGCATCTTGGTGAGTATTAGTTAAACTTCATTATGCTCTGGGGAAGGAGGTAAAAGACACGTGGGAAAAATCACTTTAGCAAGGAGACAAACCCACAGCTGCTGCAAAACTCAGCACAGAGCAGCAACTGGGTGATGGTTTGAGGAGAAAACCCTGTTTTCCATGAATTAGAGCATGATTAATCAGTATCCACACTAACAACCCCCCCAATGCAACGTGAGGAGTGAATCTTGTAGTCAATAATTCCTCTGGGGACACCAGGATGCTTTAAGATGGAAATAAAAAGCATCCCTTGGTGACAGCAAACCCGACTATTCCTGAAAAAAAAAAACCACAAAAAAACTTGGAAAGGAGTCCTGGCTGCATCACAGGGATCAGGCAGTGCCACCCTCGTGTCCCCAGTCCTGTCAGCCTCAGGGTCACTGGGAAACATCCGTGCTCCCAGTCCTCCCACAGCTGGGCAGGGCTGATGCTTCCCTGGGTCCAAAAAGGCTGAGAAATGGGAAAATTCAACAACCAAGCCATGGCCACGGCACTCAGCAGAAATGAGCAGGGAAATGAGCCCTCATTGAACCACCTGGGAAATCCCTATTTTCTAGCCCAAAAAGGATAAAGGGCTCCTGGAGTGTGGATTTGAAGAGGAAAAGGGATCCTGGAGTGTGGAATTGAAGAGGAAAAGGGATCCTGGAAAGTAGAATTGAAGAGGAAAAGGGATCCTGGAAAGTAGAATTGAAGAGGAAAAGGGATCCTGCAGTGTGGAATTGAACAGGAAAAGGGCTCCTGGAGTGTGGAATTGAAGAGGAAAAGGGCTCCTGAAATGTGGATTTGCAGAGGAAAAGGGATCCTGGAAGGTGGAATTGAGCAGGAAAAGGGATCCTGGAAGGTGGAATTGAGCAGGAAAAGGGATCCTGGAAGGTGGAATTGAGCAGGAAAAGAGATCCTGGAATGTGGATTTGAAGAGGAGCCCCTGGATGAGCAGTTTGGAGCCAGCCCCTCGCTCATTCCAGGGCTGGCACAGCCGTGACCATCCATGTGCTGCTCTCTCCAGAGGTCAATCAGAGCTGGCAGGGACAGAGCCAGGCTGTTCCCACCAATTTCTGGGATCTGGGTGTTTGATTTGTGGCAGATGCTGCTCTGGCAGCAAGGCTGTGGTGCTGGGAGTGCCGTGCTGCCATTCCCAGCTCTGCTGTTTCCCTGGAATACTAACGAGCTCTGCTGTGTGCTGAGGGCTGGGAGATGGCTGCTGCTGCTCCAGCCACCGACTGGAGCCTCTGGAGCTGCCTCCTGTAAAATCCGTGCAGACAACACATCTCATTCCCACAAAAAACGGGGTGTTTGTGCCTTTCCCCTCCTGCCAGCAGCCAGGGGAATCTTTTCCAGCTGAGGAATCACAGCCCTACAGACACGGATGCACGATTTGGGAATATCAAAGCCTGGGATCCCAGAGCCTCCCATCAGCAGCACCTTACAACTGTTTCCATGGCTCCCAGAGCACCACACAGCCCTCTGCTCATCTCTCTGCCTGGGAGGTGGCTGCTCCCTTCCAGGACCAATCCCAGGGCATGGAAAGCACACCTGGAGCAGCACACCTGGAGCAGCACACACAGACCCAGCCCCCAGTGCCATGACTTCCCCAGGAACCATCCCCCCCTGAAGGCTGCTGGCTTCAGGGGCTGACAGAAAACTCAGAAATCGAGCCTGAGCCTGGGTGGCTCAACTTTCACACAAGTTCTCCCCTCCTCTCCGTGGTTTTCTGGTCCAAAATTCAAATTGTTTGACTCACACCACCCCCGTTTGGCCCTGCTCATACCAGCCCCACCCCGATCCCGATCCCAATCCCAATCCTGGCTGGGGAGCTCCAGGACCCCCTGATTTAAAGACCCCACACTGCTGTCCCAGAAAGCAGCTCCTGCTCCTGGGGTGCTCCTGCTGCTCCCCAGAGCCAGCCCTGCCCGTGCTCTGCAGCCTCTTTAAGGCAGTCCCAGCCTGGGAGAACGGACCCACGGGGATTTCTGCAGAGCCTTGCATAAAATGGTTGTTTGTTTGATTTGTCCGTGAAAAAGTTCATCCCAGATCCAAGAAATTCTGACGGGATCTTCCTGGCACAGCCCCGGGCTTGTGCTCAGAGCTGTTTTCCCCTCCTCCCACCGCAAGGATCCCAGGGCAGAACTCCATGGACACAGCCCAGATCCTCCTCACTCACCCCTCCATGTGCAACGCAGCCAAATATTAAACAACCCCACAAAAGATTTCCACAAAGGTATTCCCAAAATTATTTCCAAAGCCACCAGCTGGGGCATGTAATTCCAATCCCTCCCCCCCCCTCTAAGCAGGGCACTGGGATCATCTCCCAGCCACAGCCCAGGAGCAGCAGCTGCTCGTGGTGAGTCAGGGGAGCCACCAAACCCTCACCCCAATGGTGGAGGGATTTACTGGGAAATCCTAAACGCCTTTGCAAAGGTCAGGAGGTCACAGCTGAACTTTCCTCACCCCCCCCCTTTCCCAGCCCCTCGGTTCCTTCCTGGCAGCAATTTCTTCCTAATACACATCCGATATAATCTCATTACCAGCTTAGTGTCAGCTCGCCTTCCTCCCTTTGCCCAAATATCTCACAGCCAAGTGTTCCCAAAGTTACTCTGTCCTCATCCACGGCCTCAAATTCCTGCCAGGCTCCTACTGCCCAGACAGCTACAACAAAGAAAAACACCAAAAAAAAAAAAAAAATCCCCAAAAAAGGCCAATTGCCAGCAAGCAACAACCTATGAGGCCGGGAATGAAACTCGGAAAAATCCCACAATTTCCATTTCTTCAGGGCTGCTAATGGCACCACTGATCAAAGGCTGATTAAACTCATTATCCTGCTTCCTGGGCAAGGCTGGGAGCACTTGGAACATCCTTTGCCTCAAAGCCAGCACGGTGCTGAACCACATTTGGAAGCTTTCACTCCAGCCAGGCAGGCCAGGAATGCAAGAAGGATTTTTTTAAATTTTTTTTTTTTAATTCTTGGTGTGTTATTTGTTTTGGGAAAAAAAAAAAAAAAGAGCCTGAATCCCTTTCACTCTCTAGGAAACATCCACTAATCCACTGGAGAAATAGGTGTGTCTGAGCCCTAAAAGTGGATTAACTGAGGAAGGGATGAGGCTTCTGGGTTCTTTGGCCACCAACAACAGCACCCATCCAAGGATCAATCCTCGTGCCTGCCATCACAAACCAGGGAGAAATTTCCAGAGAAAACACAGGGATGGTGTGAGGAATTACCAAAGGAGGTGGATCAGAGCTGAGCCAGCACAGACATTCCCAAAGGACCCTGTCAAAACCTGGTCCCAGAGGACACGCAGAGGGGCCAAACCCCTCATTTTTGGGGGATGGAGATGGGAGACACATCATCCAAGTGATTCCCTACAGGGAAATCCCTCCCTGGGACAGCCACAGGGACAGTCCTGGCTGGAAACCCGGCGGCTGGGACAGGGGACAGGGCTGGGGGTGCCAAATTCGTGTCCTCAGGGACGCCCCAGTGCCACAGCAGCATCACCCCAAAAGGGATCAGTGCCCCTGCCCAGTCCTGGGAAAGAGGAGCTGGAAAAGGAGCCAGGGGTGGGCGTGTGGGGACACAGGGATGTATGGGGTCCCCAAACTGCCTGGGGACACAGAACCAACAGAAAGGGACCACAGAGCCCCGGGAGGGGCTGGATCAGGGATGGGATGGAGAGGGAGGGAAGGTTGGGATTCAGCGGGGATGGCAGGGCGGGAGGCAAAAAAAGCTGCTGTGGAGGAGAGGGGGGAAAAGGCCCAGCCTGAGGGGGAGCGGGGAAGGGTCGGATCTGAGGGGCTCGGGCATTGCTGAGGGGCAGGGCCGGGGCTGAGGGGGATGAGGGGGACGAGGGGGACGAGACCCCGTTCCCGGCTCTGAGGGGCGGAGGTTTGGGGTGGGGGGGGAGCCCGCGCCGCCCGCTCTCACCGTGTGGTTCGCCCCCCACATAAGGACGCTGAGCAGCGGCTCCGAGGCCCGGAACAGCTTCACCTTCTGGCACACGAAGTGTTTCTTCTTGGTCTTGGTTTTGCTGGCGCTGAGGGCCGAGCCCACCGCGGCCACGGCTCCCGCCGCCGTCCCCGCGGCCCCCGCGCAGTTCGCGGCCATGGCGGACCCGACCGACCCCCTCCCCGCGCCCCCCTACCAGCGCCTCCGCATGGTTCCGCCCGACCCGGCTCGGTTCCCCCCCACCCCGTTCCAGCAGTGGTACCGCCCGGCTCCGGCAGTCCCGGCCCGTTAAGCTTTCCCCTCGCCGCCCCCCGTGTCCCCCCCCCGCCCGCCCCCGCGGTGGTTCGCTCCGCCGCGGCCGGCCGAGCCCGCTCCGGCCCCGCGCCGAGGAGGCGCCAAGATGGCGGCGGGCTGAGGGGGTGGGGAGCGGGAGGTGCCATGTCCCCCCCGAGCGGGGGGAAACCGCGGGCGCTGCCGGAGGGAGAGCTCCGGTTCGGGCTGCGGTAGGAGCAGAAGAGCCGCGACACGCACGGGCTGCGACAGGGAACAACGGAGAGGGATAACGGACGGAGAAACAGAAGGAAAAAAGCCCCGTTCCCTCCTCCTCTTCCCGGAGATGGTCTCGCCCAGCCGGCGTGACGCGCCCAGTAGGGGAACGCCCCTCTGGGAACAGACCAATCAGCAGCGAGGCGGCTGGAATTATGAATGGGCTGTTACACACGTCACCCGCCGCCGTTTAAAGGGCCCGCGGCTGCGCGGGGACCCCGCCGGGACCCTCGGGGGGACAACGGGGACCCCTCCGGCCCCGGGGCGCGTCCTGCGGGCTGGACACACCCGAGAAGGGGCGGCTGCAGCCTCCCGAACCCTCACCGACCCCTCCACCCCCTCAGCCAATTCACCCCCGCCCCTCCCATCCCCACCCCCAGGAGCCACAAAGGACATTTAACAAACGACAGTGAAGTTTCTTAATTAAAAAGGCAAAATAAATCTACACTGCTGTACATATACACATTACTTACATTACAAAATCCCAGAGAAGTATTTGCTGTGTCAGCTAGGCTCTGCTCATTCCCTTATTTCCCTCAGAAACTGCTTCTTTTGGGTCAAAGAGTAATGAAATAAACGAAATAAATCTGTGAGCCACCAAATGACAGCACACTGTGAGGTGTGGATACAAACGGTGACAGTGTGGAACAGGATCCGTGGAGTTCTGTCCAATTCCATGGAATTACCTCACGTGTGGATCAACTCTGCTCTGGATTTTAAGGATTTACAAAAATAAATCTTCAGCTCTGGCCCAGGAGGAAGCAGCGACCACCCGGCCTAGCTGGGTTTTGATGTACAAAAGTGACACCGGCCCAGGGTGGGGACAGCAGGAGAAGCTCTGGGAACACGAGGGCTCAGCCTCGGGACCCGGCGCCTCTCTGGGAGCTGGAATTGCTCCAGGACACCTCTCACCTCTGGAAACAAATATCCACCGAGCTCCTGCCCGGGGGCAGGGCCGGCACAGCTTTCACCTCTGCATAAAATTCTTTTCCAAGGCTGCAGGAGTCCTCTGCAGGGAGTGGATGTTGCGTTTGACCCGATCCTCCAGGCTGGAGGTGGAGGCACTCTCCAGCTTCAGGCGGCTGCAGGGAATGGGAGCACAGGGAGAAATCACAGCTCTGACACTCCAGGAGAGCAGCTTTGCCTTAGACACTGGATATCGGGAGGGAATTCCTTCCTGGCAAGGGCTGGAATGGAATTCCCAGGGAAAGGTGTGGCTGATCCATCCCTGGGACAGGGGGAGGTGGCCCTGACATGCCAAGGGGGGGATTTCAGGTCCCTTCCCACCCAAACCACGCCAGGATTCTGTGATTTGGGGATGTCGGCTCTGGGCAGCCTCAGGGCTTTGCTGCCATGAGCACAAGGGATTAAATTAATCCGAGCTCAAACACAGACTCCAGTCCCACACACTCACAGGGACTTGCAGGCCTCAAACTGTTCCAAGTTCCCAAAACCTGAAAATTTCTAAATATCTCCATATAAAGCACTCCCAGGGTGACCAAACATCACCAAATGCCCAGCTTGGCTCGGACTCCTAATTAGCAAGAAGCAATTTTTTGGGTCGAGGGGGAAATTTGGGAAGAGCAAGAAGCAATTTTTTGGGTTGAGGGGCAAATTTGGGAACAGGAAGAAACAATTTTTTGGGTTGGGGGGAAATTTGGGAATGGGCTGAGGGGGAAATTCAGGAACAGCAAGAAGGAATTTTTGGGTTGAGGAGAAATTTGGGTACAGCAAGAAGGAATTTTTAGGGTTGAGGGGAAAATTTGGGAAGAGCAAGAAGCAATTTTTTGGGTTGGGGGG